CCCCCCACCTATCTATCTAACCCCCACCTATCTATCTATCGAAGACCCCACTTGTCTGTTTGTCTGTCTAACATAATAAAATAATGATGTTCATTAAAACTTTAAGTTTCTTGACTCTTATTAATGTTTAACAAATTAAGAGAGTTCTGTTATTCTGTGGCCTGGAGGTAAAACTAAAACTAAATCACAGTTTCCTCCTAAACCTCCATCTTTACTCATCAGCTCACCTCTCTGAAGGTGGCTCCTGGTGACCTGGAGATCTTGTACAGGGCGTAGATGGGTATGCAGATCACGGATGACAGAGCCATGCAAAACCCAACGGCCAGGGACCAGCCAGGGTACACGTAGTCATTGTAGGTGATGGGCTTGTACTGGATCACAGTGAAGACCAGGATGCACTGAAAGGACCAGAACATGAGCAGAAGTTTGAAAAGCACAGAAAATGCCAATAGGTCATTTACCACAACCCCCCCCCCCCCCCCCAACATTTTTTTGTTTAATATGCTATACAGCAGGGATGGGTAAACTTTTTGACTGGTGGGCCAAAATAAGGTTCAGAATATGACTGGCAGACTGGTTCAGTATTAGCTGGATGGGGAATAAACCTAAACTTTCAAAGATAAGTTGGCACATTGGATGTCTGCTGCCATCTGGTGGCATTTACATATATTACAGTCGACTCATTTAAATGAAACTGGATGATTGACTAGTGCTTGGAGGGCCAGATTAAAAAGCCCAGCAGGCCGTACCTGGTTCACGTGCCGTAGTTTACCCAGGTCTACTCTGCAGGTTAATGTTATTTAGAATAACAAAAAAGTGGCTTTTCCACTTTTTTGTTCCACTATGTATTGTTATGAACTCACCCACAAAAGTTCCACTATGTATTGTTATGAACTCACAAATATGATGACAGGGGAGATGAATCTCCAGCAGACTTTGAAGAAGAGAGGAGGAGGGAAGCCCAGCATCATCTCAACATCCTTGAAGTAGTTTACGTGACCTGCAACAAGAACCCAAAACCAATGTTACCTAATACATAAAAATGAATGTGCTTGGTTAAACTAAAGATGTGCTTTATTTTCTTTGTCATCAGATGCTGCAATTTAACCAGAACTCAGACAGAAACCACAGGTTTAGAAACACTGCACAACTTCTAGGTGAGTATTAGAAATAGACCGTTACAAAGAATTTAAACTGTTTTTTTGTTTGTTGTGATTTGCCTCTGTGGCTGCATAAAATGAAAGAACTTCACAATAATTATAGTAGCTTTCAGTGGTAGCTTTTACACTAAAAAATTATATTTCAATCAGTGTTCAAGTGTTTGTGAAAGCACTGTTAAAGAATTACGTGAGTGAGTCGATGTCTTTACCATAAATATACATGACGCAGACACACATGATGCAGGAGATGATGACTAGGGAGAAGCTGGCGGCGTAGTTGTCCATGAGGAGGAGCCAATAAATTCCTGCCTGCTCAGAGAAAGCAGAGCAGAGAGTCAGAAATCAATGTTCATTTTGGGCATGATTTAAAGACATTTACATGTTTATAAATAACTCACCTGTGTGGTCAGGGGGACTCCCAGAAGGAATCCAACGATGGCCACAGACAGAGTCACGACAGTCTTGTGTTTCATGATCCAGTCTGTGCCGATCTCATCGACAATGGCCGTCACCAATGTCTCCAGAAGACAGAACTGAAAGAAGAGGACAGGATATCAGTCTCATTAGCACAAGGAATATCATATTAGCATTAGCATATTAGCTTGTAGACAAACAAACTAAATTCTTCTTCTAAGGCAGGATATTTCGGCTAACGGGCAGTAGCTCTATGGGCGCCCATTTCTCCGATATTGTCTAAACCCAAGTGAAGCAAACTAATTTGGGGCTTGCTATCATTCTGGGTGGATTAACCAAAGAATTCCAACCGCTAAATATTGGTGTTAACAGGGCGTTCAAAGTTAAATTGCGAGCTGCGTGGGAGCACTGGATGACAGAAGGCGAACACACATTCACCAAGACAGGGAGGCAACGCCGGGCGAATTACGCCACTATCTGTCAATGGATCGTGGATGCCTGGATGAAGGTATCAGTCTCACAAAGACCGGAATCATCACTGAACAACTAATTAACAGCAACGAGACTGACTTGGATAATGAGGAGAGGGATCCGGACATGCTTAATTGTTCCGCTGACTGTTTTGCTTCGCTTAGTGCGCCTTATAACCCGGTGCGCCTTATGTATGAAAATATTCCCGTTCATTGATAGTGCACCTTTAAATGCGGTGAGCTTTATGGTCCGAAAATACAGAGGGAACTGAAATACAGTTCGTTCAAACATTATATCCTCGATCCTCACCTGAGTTCCCAGTCCTAGAAGGATGAGCATGAAGAAGAAGAGCAGCGACCACAGCGGCGAGATAGGGAGCAGAGTGAGGGCTTCTGGGTAAGCCACAAAGGCCAACCCTGGACCGTGGTCAGCCACCTCTGACACGGGGACGTTCAGGTGGTTGGCCATGAAGCCCAGGATGGAGAAAATAACAAAGCCGGCGTAAACACTGGTCGCACAGTTGGTTATACTGATGATGATGCTGTCTCTGTGGATGATGAAGCACAAAGAAACATTCACATTCACATGCTGGCCTTACAAAAATGTAACAAGTGTAATTAAGCAGTTTTCAATGGTTATTTTTAAGTGTACTTTCAATCTTGTATCACCACTTCCTAAATACTGACAATAAAAAATAAATAATTTAATTTCCTGTCTTTCAGCAGTGACTTTGTGGTTTCTCTGTGGTCATTTTCTCCTCATGTTCAACCAGACTGGCTATTACTGAAAAAGGGTGAAACTGCCCTTTTTCACTGAGGGTTTACAGGAGTGTCATTTTCACCACTGGCTCTTCAGAATACTTCATATGTAAACATGGTCATTCCATGCTTTACATTAGCTAAAGCTAAAGTCATCATCAGGTCCAAAAGCTACACAACTCAAACTGAGTGATGAAACCTGGAACTGTCTTCTAACCCAAAGAGAAGTTGTTGGTGCCATAGTTACCACATGGGGGCAGAACTCGTCACAGGACTTTAAATGTGGTCAGTTGAGAGTGAAGGGAGTTTCTAATTAAAACGAGCATCTTCATAAGGCTTTGGGTTTGTTTACAGTATGGGATTAAGGTTTAAACAGAATCAGTGTCA